GCTTTTCACTAGAAACTGACACATTGTAAACTGACTATACCTCAATAAAAAAACTAAATTTAAAAAGTGCCCACCTCATGGTTCACGCTCAAGAACTATTATTATTATCATAACATTAACATCACAAAATATGAAATAACCCATGCTTGAAGGGAGCAAAGATAATCAAAATGGGAGAATATGTTTTCTGAAAATGGCATCCCCAATACCAAATTGATAGGTTTTTATAAGCAGAATAATGGGTAGTTTTCTGAGAAGTTAGGACAAAAAGATGGGGTCTGCCCTTAACTTGAGAATATGGGCTTGGGCTAGTCACCTGACTTCCCTGCACTTAAGTTTTCTCATCATTACATTGAAGGGGTCTCTGTGTGAAGGAAAAGCCCAGCTGAGCTAACAAGCTAACTCACAAATCTAAGTGTAACAAGTGTCGGATTACTGATCTGAGTTCTGCTGGGCTAACTTGTAAATCTGAGTTAATTATTGTGGGTTTGCTGATTCCCTGTTCATGTTTTTTTTTTGCTAGCCAGCTGGATTTTCAAAGAGACATATCTGGCCTTGAAATGTTGGTTTGCTGCCTCCCTGCCTCTACTTTTGTGATAATGATGTTGCTAAAGCTGTTCCATGCCTATTGGCCAAATACCCCAAGCTTGTAATTAACCCTATAAAACCTCATGCACACGTGTTGGAGGTGCTCAGAGCTTCGGAGCAGAAGCCCCTCTGAGCCCGCCGGCGTAATAAATCTAAGTACTCCAACCCTCCGAGTGGTGCTTGTTTCTTGGCTGGCCTGTCATTTCCGTAACATTTCTGGAGGCCCCAGCGAGATACAACCACGCTGGCCCCTTGAGCCTCTGGACTGGTGGCTCCGGCCGACCGGGGGACGGGACTCCGGCAGCGAACGAGGTGGCGACGCCTGACGGTATTCCGGGTTCTCTTTCGTGACGGCAACTCGGCCCCCCCCAGGTGGCTGGGCTACAACTAGAGCCAGACTCCGTGGAGGGATGGACAGACTCACCAGGTGGCCGTCTGGACAAGGTAGGATCCCCCGGGAGGAATCAGGTCCTGTCCCATTGGACAGAAGAGGAGGCTGATCCCCTCCTACAGGCTCTCCGTCTGATGGTATTTCAGACGGGGAAATCAGGAATCAAGTCAGGAATCAGGTCCTGTCCCATTGGACAGAAGAGGAGGCTGATCCCTCCTACAGGAAACAGGATATTGGAATTGGTGGGAGGACTGTTCTTAACCTCTGTGTTTGCGTGTGTGAGTGAATGAGCGGCCTGTGAAGCATGCGATCAGGCTCGAGTTTGTAGCTCCATGGCATTCTGCTACGGAGTTCGAGTGAGTCCCAACCTGCGGTTCCATGGTGACCACATACGGCTCAGGGCGGTATCGGTCCCTAAGGGTCCCGATCGGAGTCAGCAGCTTATACTGACCCGCCAAAGCTAAGAGGCACCTTTGTCCCCGCGAGGGGAGCAGCCAGGCGGACGCAACGAAAACCCTCCCTTGTCTTGTCCGCGACACAGGCACAGGGTGGCTACACTGGGAGGAAAAAGGACATAGACAGCCAATGAGTCAACGCCCCTGTGCCCTCGGAGGCTAGGATGCTATTTCTTTGAGAAAGTCCTTGAAACTGCTTGAGGCCTTGAGATCCAGAGACATCAGCTGTGACTGGAACCCAGAGTCCCTGACCAAGTTAGCCTTAAAACAACTCATAGACCCAGCAAGAGAGCAGTCTCTCTGGGAACTCCGGTGTTTTGAAGAGTGAAGAAGAAAAAGATATAAAGGCTACCTTCCCAAACATCTAAAGCAACAGAACTATTATCCTTAAACATCTAAAAAGAATGGGAGGCTCTAAGTCAAAACCCACCACTCTAGACTGCATGATTAAGAATTTCAAAAAGGGATTCTCAGGAGACTATGGAATTCGAATGACCCCTGGCAGGCTCTGCACTTTGTGTGAGCTTGAATGGCCGGCCTTTGGAGTCAGGTGGCCCTCAGGAGGAACTCTTGACCTAGCAACAGTGCGAGCAATCTATCAAATAATCACTGGAACCCCAGGCCACCAAGGTCAATTCCCTTACATTGACTCCTGGCTGAATATCACCCATACTCTACCCCCATGGATTCGGTTTTGCTCAAATGGACCTAGACAATGCAAGATATTAGCAGCTCAGCCGGTCCAGGCCAAAAAGACAGACAGAAAAAAGCCGACTTTCCAGGGAGACGCAGAAGACGAGATGTGCCTGCCCCCTCCATATGCCCCCAAGGCACAAACACCTCCAGTCCCATTGGAGACACCACCACCTTCTGTGTCACCACCTCTCCAACCTGAGGACCCAGAGGCAGAGCCCAGCCCCCAGCCTGAGCCAGTAGGAAGGAGACTCCGCTCAGCACAAGCCGTGAAGCCAGCACCACCGGCCCTCCAAATGCCGCTGCGGGAGACACAAGGGCCGCAGCAAGTTGGGGAAGACGGGACTGTTCAGCCTGGGCACCCCGTACTCTACTACCAACCTTTTAGCACCACAGACCTTCTCAATTGGCGCCATCACACTCCTTCCTACTCTGAAAAGCCACAGGCTATGATTGACCTCGTAGAGTCTATCTTCCATTCTCACCGGCCCACCTGGGAAGATGTCCTCCAGCTGCTTCTGACTCTTTTCAATACAGAGGAGGGGAGGCGCATTCTCACTGAAGCACGAAAATGGCTGCAGGGCCGAGCCCCTGGGGACACAATGGATGTTGAGGGGTGGGCCATGACACGTGCCCCTGACACCAGACCAGATTGGGACTTTAACACCCAAGAAGGAAGAGAAGCACTACGTGAGTACCGGGAGGCCATCCTACAAGGGCTAAAAGCGGGAGCCAAGAAGACAACTAACATGTCTAAAACGACCATGGTGACCCAGAGGCCAGACAAGACCCCC